TCTCTATTTCTTAGAGATGAAATCATAATGTCAACAGTAAGTTCAGTTCTCCCATACTCCAAAGCATTCTTTACTTCTCTGTATTTGTTCCCTAGACCATTTAATAAGGCAACAACTTGTTGATCTTCAGACAATTTTTCATCACAGTCAGTCAGTTTTCTGGTGAATTTATCAATATTTTCTTCCAGATTAGAGGAGGGATTAAATCTGTAGTTGTAGAATTGTCTTAGGAGATAGCATTTGTTGGGCATGCTTTTAGTCAGATAGAGAGATTCAAGTTTAGTCCAAAGACCCTGAGTATTGGTGGCTTCTCCAACCTTTCTAATTACAGTGTCAGACAAATGAAGAAATATGGAACTCCAGGCAACCTCATCTAATTATTGTCTTCTATAAACACTAAATTCAGGAGGTCAAGTACCATCAATAGCAGCATCACATCTCTGCTGTAACAACAGAGCCTTAATTTTCTGACACCCCAAACTAAAATCACCATTTCCTCTCCAAATCTCTATTTTGAATTTATGCAGTAGACATGATCTCAACAAGTTCAAGGAAGATATTCACGCATAATGCAGTATGTATAAATAGTGACAGAGCAGCAACAAGACAGTACTCAACATATATGGAGATATAGAATAGAATTGTCGGTTTGATAGGTTTAAGGGGTGATAACACTGTAATCCCCTACTCATTCAGATTCCCAAATTCTTAATGAGATCTTGGACAAAGAAAAGTAGAGGAAGATTACTTACCTTAATAACCAAATCAAAACAGACAATCAAACTGATGATATATATCTAAAAGGAGGTTGAGAAGGTCTTACCAGAACTGTAAGTTTCAGAAGCAAAAAGAAGCAATACAGAACACCAAACCAGGTTCAAGAGTTCAGGAGAGCACAAAGCAACACCGAGTCGCAGCAACTCAGTTGTGACCATGAGTGAGTCAGTTAAAGCCAGTAGAATCGGAGTGAGTCAACTCAACTCATAGTGTTACAAACCAATGTTTTTTTTTAATTCAAAGTCAAGGTTGAATTGTCTAGGTCAAGGTCAATTAGGACTTAATTGGAATAAATTATTTTCTTGGGGCCTATTTTACAATGGATAAAATATTCGGGGATTCCAATGGATAAAATTTTAAGTTGGGAGTTCACCTTTCAAGTATTAAAATGTAAGGATTTAAGATTGATTAGAATTTAAAGCGGAGGACTAACTTATCTTACATTGGTAGTTAAGGGGCTTCTTATGCAAAAACCCTAATATCTAGACCATTCTACACCATTTTCTCCCCATTTTCCACACCTACACCTACAACAGAGATGGGCAGAGAGTGAGAGACCGAGAGAATTCGAGAGAAACCCAGAGAAGAAGAGAAGGAAAAAGGGGGAAAAAAAAAAAGAAGAGGAAGGAAGTGATGATGAGTAAGTGTTATTTTCCTTAATTTTAGGTCTAAACTATCCATTTCTTCATGAGATAAATGAAGTATATTATGTTAAATTTCTAGGGTTGTAATTGAGTTGTTTAATTTTTTAGATTAAGTTAAAGATATACCCTTGTTAGATCAAGTTTTTAAGAGATTGCCTTCTATTTACATCAAGGTAAGGAAATTTTATTTAGGGTAAACACTAGAATTTTTATTTGGAATCTTGAATGAAGT